CCAGAGGCAGCCCCAGCACAGCCCTGAGGTGCTGCTCGTACTGCGACGTGACACGTGGCACGCCTCGATGCTGTAGTGCCCGCTGTTGTGTGGCCAGAAGGGGGGCCAAGACCACCGGAACCCCACCACACCAGCCCCGCTCCCCCTTCTCCTTCCCCCCTCCCACCCCACACTCAAAACAGCCACACTCACATCAGCCTCGCCCAAAAAGTTGACCATGGCAGAAGCACCAACTTTAAGGGACGGGTCCCCTAAGGGCAGTCCCAGCACGACCCTGGGGTGCCGCTCGTTCTGCGACACGTGGCACGCCTCTATTCTGTAGTGCACGCTGTTGTGCGGTCGGAGGGGCAAGAGCACCACAGGGACCAACCCTATCCCAACAGGCCCACTTCCATTCCATCACCCCCCTCTCCCCTTTCCCCTTTGCCCCCTCCATCACAAGGCCCCACACTCACATCGGCCTCGCCCAGGATGTTGACCATGGCGGCAGCGCCGACCTTGAGCGAGGGGTCCCCTAACGGCAGCCCCAGCACGGCCCTGAGGTGCTGCTCGTACTGCGAAACGTGGCATGCCTCGATGCTGTAGTGCCCGCTGTTGTGCGGCCGCGGCGCCACCTCGTTGAGTAGGACGGAGTTGTCGGCCAGCAGAAACAGCTCCACGCCAAAAACGCCCGCCCCGGCGAGCGAGCCGATCGCCAGCTCGGCCACTCGCAGCGCCTGCTGCTGCACTGCGGGCGGCACGCCGGCCGGCACGATCACTGTGTTGCAGATGTTGTCCCTAGTGAGCGCAGGGGCGGGCGGCAGGGAAGGGGACAATGGAAATGGACAATTAGTTCGCACAAGACTCATCCGGATTTGGTTCACGTTGATTAGACAAAACTGCTTCCCACCTCTCAATGTCTCTCACCCCTCACCTTGTATCACCTCTCACCGCCTATCACCTCCCATCAACACTCGACCAGTGGGTTGTCTTGTCTCCACCACTGGCTCCATAGTGAAGATTTTATCCATACTGGCTCTCAAAGAAACGTTCCAAGCTAGCGCGTAACCAGGCTCTTTTCCGCCATCATTCAATGGAGTTTGTCTCGTTGTCCTAAAACACCACGAGCTGATGGAAGTAAGGCCTCCGCAACCCACCTGTCCTCTTTGGACAGCTCCTGCACCGCCTATCACCTCTCACCGCCTATCACCTCTCACCGCCTATCACCTCTCACCGCATATCACCTCTCATCAACACTCACCGGTGGTTGTCTCCACCACAGGGAAGCTCTTGATCTCTCCGTCCCGCCCTCTCGCCACCATCACTGCCAACTCCTGCCACGCCACGTGCACACGAGCATAGGTGTGAGTCATACGCAACAGAATGCGGCAGTACATAACCCACATGGGTTTTTTATGCGCCTGAAAACACGTGCAAACGAGCATGGCTGTGAAAAAAGCATATCCAACAGAATGCAGCCGTTATTCACATGTGCTTCATTAAAATTTGAGCACAGCGACGTGCAAAGAGCAAGATGTGCAATCAGGTGCAATGTGGTGCAGAGAGAAGCAGTGCAGTGCACACAGGCCTCACCTTGGTGAAAGGAGCCCACTTCTCAGCGTACAGCCCTCGCTCAAAGCCCCCCAGGTCTGTGCGGGTGGCGTGGCACAAGGGGATGACACAAGGGGATGACACAAGGGGATGACACAAGGGGATGACACAAGGGGATGACACAAGGGGATGGCACAAGGGGATGGCACAAGGGGATGGCATAGCCAAAAAACAGATGTGACTCAAAACGAGGAAACAAAAATAGGCAAATAGTCTTACCGCTCAAAGCTACACCTTCTGGCCCTGTGTGCTCAAACCAGGATGCTAGAGTTTAAACGCCCAGCTACTGCTCATACCAGCTACTGCTACGGTTCAATAAAATAAAACTACTGCTGCTCTGCACTGCAACCCACCTGCGACAGCTTGCTCAATGTCCTCTTGTGAGTTCACGACAGCGTTGCCGCGGCCGTCATACGCGTTCTTGCGGCTCTTGAGCATGAAGGGGTAGGAGAACTCCTCCCCTGCTGCCTCTGCTGCCGCCATGTCCGGGACCTGATGGTGAGGTGGTGGCATGGGATGAAACATGCCCAAGGGCATCAGATGGGGCATGGGACGGGGCATGGGACGGGGCATGGGACGGGGCATGGGACGGGGCATGGGGTGGGGCATGGGACGGGGCATGGGACGGGGCATGGGGTGGGGCATGGGACGGGGCATGGGACGGGGCATGGGACGGGGCATGGGACGGGGCATGGGGTGGGGCATGGGACGGGGCATGGGGTGGGGCATGGGACGGGGCATGGGATGGGGCATGGGACAGGGCATGGGGTGGGGCATGGGACGGGGCATGGGACGGGGCATGGGGTGGGGCATGGGACGGGGCATGGGGTGGGGCATGGGACGGGGCATGGGACGGGGCATGGGACGGGGCATGGGACGGGGCATGGGGTGGGGCATGGGACGGGGCATGGGACGGGGCATGGGACGGGGCATGGGGTAGGGCATGGGACGGGGCATGGGACGGGGCATGGGACGGGGCATGGGACGGGGCATCAGATGTAACATGGGATCGACCGTGCACTTTAATATAAGGTGTTAGAATGTGACGTGCGGTGACAGACATTACGATACATAGCGGGCTGCGCAAATGCCGAAACACAAACAAATGCAAGGAGAGGGCCAAGAGAGGGTCGAGAGGGGGTGGACAGAGGAAGGAGAGAGGGTGGAGAGCGGAAGGAGAGGAGGTGGAGAGAGGATGGAAAGAGGGTGAAGGAGGGGGTGGAGAGAGGATGGAAAGATGGTGAAAGAGAGGGGGTGGAGAGAGGGTGGAGAGCAACTGACAGGCACAAAGTCGGGGAGGGGCACGCCACGATTTCTGAAGTGAACCTTCTGAAGGTACTTGTCCTGGTGGTGGGTGGGAATGGGGGGGGTGGGGAGGAGATAGGAGAGGGAGGTGAGGCAAGAGGAACGAGAAGGGGAGGTGTGAGGGAGGTGTGAGGGAGGTGTGAGGGAGGGGTGAATGAGGTTGGAGATAGAGAGGTTAGAAAAATTGTGGGCATATTCAGGCTCACTCACTCACACATGACTCTCATTACCATCTTGCTCGACTCGACTCTCCTTGCAGCAACAGCTGCCTCTCGTTACAGTCACACTCACCTGAATGACGCCGATGGTGGAGGGCTTGGGTTCGATGTCGATGCAGTCGTCGTCCTCCAAGTGCTGCAACGCGTCCACATTCACGTGCTCTATCTCCACTGTCACCACGTCGCTCCTGTTTATAACGCGGACAAAGAGAGCCACGCGCACTTAGAGCTAATCCGTATGAATGCGACAACGGAACGGAGCGAGCTTGACTGACAACACATCAGTGAGAAGAAGAGCTTAGCTGTGTGCAGTTCGCCATCTTATTGGTTCTGCCCAATAACAAAACATAATTAGAAGACTATAAATTGGGACGGATTCGACTCACTTTTTCGCAAACTCTCGCACGGCGTCCATGTCCTGGAAGCTTCCTACCACGTGGCGGAACGCCACTGGACGAGCCGGCGCGTCTGGCAGCGGGTCGAGCACCGCGACCTTGATCCCTAAAGGCGACGCCGCCTCGCATAACATTCGACCCAGCTGCCCGCCGCCCAAAACTCCCACAATTTGGCGGGAAACTCCGCGACCCTCGGGCTCCCGCTCCCACACCTCCTCGTCTTCAGCCATCGCCGCTGCGCCGTTTCCCGCCGCTTCTTCCGCGTCGAACGCGGAGACGCCGCCGTTCAAGCTCTCGCCTTCCTCCGCGATCACCGCTCCTTCAAGAGCGCGCGGGACTAGTCGAGAGTTCGCGGCTCGTGCGGGTGTCAGAGGGTTGAGCGGTGCGCGCGAGTAGGGCTTCTGAAGCGCGAAGCAGCGCGACATTGCCGGGGTGGACGAATTTAAGTGGGCAGCTTCAGCGCGTGAAGTCAACAGTTGAGCTCGGTAAAGCGCCACGTGGCAGCCAAGTGAGGAAGCGGCCATGGGGTTTTGCTGACGTAGCGCGAGGAGCGACAAGGGCCCGACTATCCTAAACAAGATGAAGCGGGCGACTTAGGACGCGACTCTGCAGCGAGTTAGGCGTCGAAGGGTGAAATGTGTAGAACAGTACTCCGTAAAAGAGTTTGGTGTGGAGGCAGAGCGGGACCTGACTGACCCTAGACGCCAAGCTAAGAGAAGGGGGAGGAAGCGGAGGGTGCATGGAGGACCAAGTCACCTAGGGAATTGGCTGTACGGTGGAGACACATATCCGCTATGAAGCTATTCCGTTAAACACGTACGTGTTTCTTATATGGGATACATTAGGTGTCCTCCATGTTCTGGATATCTGTAAACGGAACGTGTGAACAATATCGAGGTTTTCCATTTCGACCTTCCGCCCAATCACAGCATTGCGCCGTCAGAAAATGTGTCGGCCACAGTGTTCGCGCGAATTGACCATCGCCGTCACACCCCCCCTCCTCCCGAACAGAAGACGGAGTCGCGGTCAGGGATTTGTTGCGTCCACGAACCAATCAGACAGGGGCGCAGGCGGGCGGTCAGCTGTGCGTCCGAAGCAATCTGAGAAATGTTTTTTGTGCAGCTGGAATCGGGTCAGGTAGCCATCAGATGCCTTCGCACTTGCAACCCGACGACAAGTACCTGCTATGTGACTCGAATTCAGTCTGCCCGCAGCAAAAACATTCAAAAGTTCGCGCGAAAACGGAGGGAGAGGTGAGACCAACCAACTTCGAGGCTGCCTTGACGATACATTCAAGGTACAGTAAAGCCCAAGGGCGACGGTTTCTGGCGATTTATTAGCACTGCCTCCTAGCTATCAGGCAAGCTTTTGGGTACGGTAGTTCTGGTCTGGACATTGGGGACGTCAGAGAAGCGTATGGTACGGAACTTCTTGCGCAATGGCCTTTCTTTTATTATAGTATCAGCAGCCGCTAGTGATTATAGACGCGCCAATGGCGGCCTTTCGGGCGCGAGCCCGTGGAGGCTGGACAGCGACGACCCGAAGACCTTTTTGAAGGCGTCAACAGTCCTCGCATTTCGTTATGTCTGCGCACGAAGCTCTCCTGATCCTCGTCATCAGCTGTCTCGCTATTAACGCCACCGTTACAGCCACCCCCGACTACCGCGACGCGTTGTCGAAAGCGCTCCTATTCTTCGACGGCCAACGGTCAGGAAACCTCTCAGGCGCCGCGGTCAAGACCAGGACGACGTGGCGCGGCGACTCCGGTCTCACCGACGGCAAAGCGCAGAAGGTGAGGCGATGCGATCCTAACAGCGAAATGCGATCCCACCTCCACCTCGATCAATCCACCAGCGGCGCTGACGCGGATATACTCCCGATTCTTCCTCTCCCTTCTTTCCGCGCAGGTCGACTTGCTCGGCGGCTACTATGACGGCGCGGGGAACGTTAAGTACGGCCTGCCGCTGGCCTTCTCCCTCACGCTGCTCTCCTGGGCCGCCGTCGATTACCAATCGCAACTCGCCGCGTCAGGCGGCCAGCTCTCCGCGGCTCGCGACACGATTCGCTGGGGGACGGATTACCTCCTTAAGGCGCACACGAGCGCGAACGAGCTTTGGGTGCAAGTAGGCGACGGTCCGAGCGACGACCTGTGCTGGCAGCGGCCCGAGGACATGACGACGGACCGCACCGCGTACCGGGTGAACGCGACGCGGCCGGGGTCTGACGTGGCAGGGGAGACGGCGGCGGCGATGGCGGCGGCGTCGCTGGTGTTCGCGAAAGTGGATCCGTCGTACTCGTCGCTGCTGCTGAACCGCTCGCAGCAGCTGTTCACGTTTGCGGACACTTATCGCGGGGTGTATTCTGATTCTATCCCCATTGCGAGGCGGAACTATCCCTCATGGACCGGATACGAGGTGAGGTTCAAACCCCTGATGTGGAGATTGAAACGCGACGTAGAGATCAAAGCGTGAGTGTGCAAAGTTGAGTATCTGGCAGGACGTCCCCTGCCTAGACAATGCTTTCAAACTCTTCCTCTCGCTCTGAACGTCCCCACAACAGGACGAGTTGGCGTGGGCGGCGGCATGGCTGCACCGCGCAACGGGATCAGCACAGTCCCTGGAGTACCTGGCGACGAACGACGAGCAGCAAGGACGATAGTAATCGCACGCCCTTCATTCCCACCTCCCTTCCTAATCTCCCAACGGCAGGACGAGCTGGCGTGGGCGGCGGCATGGCTGCACCGAGCAACGGGGTCGTCACAGTACCTCGAGTACCTGGCGGTGAATGACGAGCAGCTTCAGGGGTCGACACAGAGCACCACGGAGTTCAGCTGGGACGACAAGTTCGCTGGCGCACAAGTGCTCGTCGCTAAGGTATGCCTTTCGTGTTGCAGACTTCCGGGCGCAGCAGCAGCGCGCCTGCGTCTGCGTCTGCCCCACCCTCTCCCCGTCCCTCCACCCCCACGTCCCTCAATCCCCCCGTCTCTCCATCCTCCCGCCCCTCCATCCCCCCGTCCCTCCATCCCCCCGTCCCTCCATCCCCCCGTCCCTCCATCCCCCCGTCCCTCCATCCCCCCATCCCTCCATCCCCCCGTCCCTCCACCCCCCCGTCCCTCCATCCCCCCGTCCCTCCATCCCCCCATCCCTCCCTGCGCCTTGTCTCTCCGCAGGTAGCACAGGAAGGAAGCAGCAGCGGGGCGGAACCTGAGCACGGCGGCACAGCCGGTGGTGGGGGGGTACTGAGCTCTCGGCACAACCAGCAAAATCTTCTAACGCCCCCCATCCCTCCATCCCGCCACCGCTCCGTCCTTCCCTGCGCCTTTCCTCACGGCACAGGTGGCACTGCAAGGCAGCGGGGCGGCTAATCTGAGTGTGGCAGCACAGGCGGTGGTGGAGGGGTACCGAACTGACTCTTGCCCCACTCACTCTCGTCCCTCTTTCCCTCCGTCCGTCTCCACGCAGGTGGCACTGCAAGGCAGCGGGGCGGCTAATCTGAGTGTGGCAGCACAGGCGGTGGTGGAGGGGTACCGAACTGACTCTTGCCCCACTCACTCTCGTCCCTCTTTCCCTCCGTCCGTCTCCACGCAGGTGGCACTGCAAGGCAGCGGGGCGGCTAATCTGAGTGTGGCAGCACAGGCGGTAGTGGAGGGGTACCGAACTGACTCTTGCCCCACTCACTCTCGTCCCTCTTTCCCTCCGTCCGTCTCCACGCAGGTGGCACTGCAAGGCAGCGGGGCGGCTAATCTGAGTGTGGCGGCACAGGCGGTGGTGGAGGGGTACCGAGGCATGGCGGACGCCTTTGCATGTGCATACATGCCTGATAACCCACTGCACTCCATCTACGTCACCCCGGGTGGGGATCTTCATTCAGTAGACTCACAACACTCGCCTCTGCTCTGCTCTGCTCTGCTCTGCTCTGCTCTGCTCTGCTCTGCTCTGCTCTGCTCTGCTCTGCTCTGCTCTGCTCTGCTCTGCTCTGCTCTGCTCTGCTCTGCTCTGCTCTGCTCTGCTCTGCTCTGCTCTGCTCTGCTCTGCTCTGCTCTGCTCTGCTCGCTCCGCTCGCTCCGCTCCGCTCTGCTCTGCTCTGCTGAATCTTCTCAGCAATCTTCTCCCCACTTCTTCCCTTCCTCCCCTGTCTTCCCCCATCTTTTTTTGAGGCGCCTCGGAAATAGACTCCACTCGTCCGCCCGTCCCTACCCTTGTCTCCCCCCATCTCTCCCCTGCTGCGGCGTTTGCCCCTCCCTGCATCCACGTGGCGCTCTCTCTCCTCCAGGCGGGCTGGTGTACGTTCGAGCGCGCAACAGCCAGTACGCCACGTCAGCCGCGTTCCTGCTGCTTCTCTACAGTGACTACCTTGCGTCGGCCAATCAGACGCTCTCGTGCGACGGCACGGACTACACGCCTGCTGACATGGCGGCCTTCTCCAAGTCACAGGTGGGATTTCGTTTAAGGCACAGGGTGGGATTCGATACAGTCACAGGTCAGAGGCACGGCGTCAGAATGATGGGCCCTTCTTCCCCCACCCTTGCTGCACCAGATGGAATATCAACTGGGTGCCAAGCCCCTCAACACTTCTTAATCGCTCTCCACCACTCTAACGCCTTCGCCACTCCCCCGTCTCTCTCCCCTCACCCCACCCCACTCGCCCCAAATGGACTAGCTTCTGGGCGTCAACCCTCTCAACACCTCTCAACCCCCTCCCCTATTTCTCCACCGTCACCCCACCACTCTCACCCCAGATGGACTATTTGCTTGGAGTCAACCCCCTCAATGCCTCCTACATGGTTGGCTTCGGCCAGTCCTACCCGCAGAAGCTGCGCCACCGGGCGGCGTCCATCGTCTCTTTCAAAGCGGACAGCACGCCGGTTACCTGTGAGGGCGGCAAGGCGGATTGGCTCATGAGTCCAGACCCCAACCCCAACGTACACGTGGGGGCAATTGTTGGGGGCGCTGATGCGGTAAGTTATGCCTTTTAAATAATGCTGGGAGGAGCTCTTATGGTGGGTGGTGGGTGGGAATCTGCATTGGCAAGGCGGATTGGCTCATGAGTCCAGACCCCAATCCCAACGTACAAGTGGGAGCGATCGCGGGCGGCCCTGATGCGGTAAGTGAACTCCCCGTGAAATGCAGGGATGTTTTGAGGATTCTCAAAAGATCAGTGAAATGCCTTCCAATTTTGCCTGCCTGTGTGTGTGTTTCCTTGACCCACCTTCCTCAACCATATCATATCCTTTCTCCAATTCCACTTCCCCACCCCATACTACCCCCACAGGACGATGCATTCATGGATGACAGGCAGCAGGCAGCATTCAACGAGCCGTCTCTCTTCACCAACGCTGCTGCTGTCGGTGCCCTTGCCCGCCTTGCTGCCGGCGCTCTCCCTCCCGGCCCCTCGCCTCCCCCTGCTCCGCCCTCCCCTCCCCCTCCGCCATCCCCTCCCCCCGCTCCCCCTCCTCCCCCGCGCCCACCCAAGCCCCCTCCGCCTCCCCCCAGCCCGCCCTCCCCTCCGCCTTCTCCCCCTCCTCCAGGTATGATTCCCACTGTTACCGCCATAAGAACACATCCCCTTGGCTCCCACCTTCCTCCCTCCCTCCCTTTTTTTTTATCATAAGGCTGAGTGTTTTTCATCTGTTCTCTTCTCCCACACCCTTGCTGCTGTGTACCCCTCGCTCTTCCTGGTCTTGTTTTGAGCCGACTCAAAACTCGACCCCTCGCTCTTCCTGGTCTTTTTTTGAGTCGACTCAAAACTCGAACCCTCGCTCTTCCTGGTCTTGTTTTGAGTCGACTCAAAACTCGACCCCTCGCTCTTCCTGGTCTTTCACCTCCCCTCTTCTCTCATCTCTTCCCTCTTGCTGCTGTCGATTAATCTTTTCCCAACCTCTTCCCTCCCACCCATCTTTCCCCCACCCTCTCCCCCAGCCTCACAAGTCACGGTCACCTGCACCATCTCAGGGGGGTGGACAGCAGACAGCAAGGACGTAGCCCAGTGGGGGTGCGTCCTCACCAACACTGACTCTCTCTACCCCGTCACAGCCATCTCACTCCTCTGCTCCGCCTTCCAGCCACAGCAATACTGGAACATAGACCCGCTAGCCTGCGCTCTCCCTGACTGGGCTAGGAACCTGGGCCCAGGGGGCAGCGCGTCGTTTGGGTTCATTCAGGAGAAGGCTGTCACGCCGCAGTTTAGCGTTCTGGGGTATTTCTCGAATGCGCCCCCCGCGCCGAGTGTAAACAGCGGGTCTCCTCCCCCTCAACCGCCTTCCTCTTCTCCTCCGCCTCCCCCTCGCTCGTCTCCCCCTCCCCCTGCCCAACCTCCCCCTGCCTCACCTCCCCCGCGCCCTCCTCCCCCGTTGCAGACCAAATCTCCCCCACCTCCAGCCAACACCCCTCCTCCTGCCGCTCCCCCTCCTGCCTCTCCTCCTCCCTCCTCCTCCTCCTCTCTCACACTCGAGCAAAACCTGCTGTACGAATGGCCTCCTGACGCTGCTGCATTCAACATCACTATTTCAAACCCCTCCACCCGGACCGCTGTTGCGGTTACCATATCCGTAACCCTGCCCGTAGATGACCCTCCAATCACCAGCGTCTGGGGTCTTTCCGCTGCGGGCAGCTCCACGGACAGCTCTTCGGGCAGCTTGAAAATTGTGACGCTGTACCGGGTTTCGGCAAATCTGCTGCCCCTGGTGCCCGGAGAATCGGCGCAAGTTGGTTACATCAAGTCTGGGCAGCCCGGAAATGTTTCCATTGGAGGGGTTGCATGGTTGGAACAGTCACCCCCTCCTCCTTCTCCTCCCACCAAACGGTCCCCTCCTCCTAAACCCCCCCGTCCCCCTCCTCCTAAACCCCCCCGGCCCCCTCCCCCTCGCCCCCCTAAGCCACCTCCTCGACCCCCACCCCGCCCTCCCCCCCGGCCGCCCCCAAGCCCTCCCCCCCGACCGCCCCCACGCCCTCCCCCTCGGCCTCCCCCACGCCCTCCCCCACGCCCCCCTCCACGCCCTCACCCAAGACCTCCCCCCAAAAAAAAGTAACTCCGGGATCCAAGTGCAAGTATGGTTTAGGGGTGGAGCAGAGAAAAGGAGATTGAGAGTTAGCAAGAGCTTGGGCCTTATCTTGATGAACGTACATCCGGAAATACCGCACACCAGAGGGCATCTACATGGTCTCTGATTTCGTTTGTTTGAATATGTATGGTTAAGAACTTAGCAGCCCCACCAGCTCCAGGCTATGCATCATTTTTGCCATACCAGATGCATGATGAAGTTGAGAACAGTGTCCAGTGATTGTACAGAAAGAACAGTTAAAATATGATTAATACAAGCACAAGCAGAAATGGTCAATAAGCAACAGATGAAGGGCAAAGAATCCTCCTAAACTAAGGTAGGTAATAATGGCAAGAATGAAGGGCTATGAACGAATAGAGCATGTGCCAAGACACCACCACTACACTGCCATGTACCGAATCAGCATACCATATGTGCAGCACAGTGCAATGTTTCATACGGGACGAGTTTCACATACTGCACATGATAATGTTTATTATTGATGATTATAAAACGGAGGGTTACTGATCACCGCTGGTGTAACCCCGATTTCGCGCAGCTGCTGCGACAGAGCCCCGTTCTGTCGCTCGAGCGCTTTACACCGCGCCTGCAGCGACTGAATGTACACCACCGCATCCTCCAGCATCGCTGACGTGTCAGTCTTAGCGTCCATCTTAGGAAGCACCTCCTTGAGGCTTTGAAGCCGCGACGTGATTTTCTCCCTCCGCATGCGCTCCGCGACGCTCCGCGGCTTGGTAGAGTACCCAGCCATGTGGCCATGCGTGTTGGCGTTTCCGCCTCCCGCGCCTCCGCCGTCGGCGCCGGGACTGCCGGCAAACAATGTAGGGCCTTCCGTATGGCCGTCCATGGAATAATCTGATCCGGATCCCTGCTTCTGTAGCGACTGCTGCTGACCCCCGGCGGCCGCGGCCTGCTGCTGCGCGCTGCGCCCGCTCGAAATGCTTCCACTTCCCCCAGGCGGGCTGTCGTCCTGCGGCGGGAATAATCCCGCCATACCCGCTGTCCCCGCGAACACCCCAGCGCCCGCGTGCCTTTTCCCCCCTTCCTTGCCCGTTTCCCCTCCCCAGCTCCCCGTCCTCGCTTTAGGGTTTAGCCCTCCCCTTCCCCATTGCGCGGAAACATCCCCCATGCCGCTTCCTACGTTGCGAGCCGACGCGTTAGCCGCAGCGGCAATGACGGCAGGCGACACACCGATCTTCGAAAGCTCCGCTGCCAAAACCGCCTCCGGGCTAATAGACAGGTGCGCGCTGTCTCCGGAGCCGCCGCCTCCTTCCGCCAGTTGAAGAGGCCCATGCGGGCTGGCTCCTAGCGTCGAGAAGCGCCCCGGCGTGCATACAACAAGGTTTCCTTCCGCATCGCGCTTTCCGGAGGGGCTCGGGCGGGTAAGAGGTAACACTCCCGAGCCGCCGTGGCCTGCATGCGAACCACGGACTTCATGTAGGTCCGGAAGACCCCGCCTCGACCGTAGACCTGACGAATGATCGGCGGCCATGGCGGCGGAACCCGCGGCGATCCGTTGGCCGACGGAGAATGACGCCGATTTCCTGTGTCCCGCGCTTCTGGAGTCCTCGCCTGCGGCGTGATCGGCGGCGCCTGTTGCGGCAGTAAACTCGCCGAAGCGCGCGGGAGGAGATGAGCCGAAAGAATGCACTCGAGGCACGATTTCCGCCGCAGATCCCGCCGGTCTGCGTGAGATGGGTTGCGCCGCCGCCGCCGATTCCTGAGCTTCTTTTTGCAGCGCCGCCAGTAGCAGCTGCTGCTCGGACGGCGTTAAAGCCGCGACGCCGGAGCAGCGAATGCGGTGGCCCACGTCGGACTTGGGGTCTAGAAGCGCCGCGGCGAGGGATTTAGCCGACAAGCCCTGGGGGCTCTCGTGCTCGCCGCGCCTGCGCATCGCTGCGGCAGACGCGGAGGCGTCGTGTGACGGGTTCGCTAGCTGACTCTGCTGCTGCTGCTGCTGCTGCTGCTGCTGCTGCTGCTGCTGCTGCTGCTGCTGCTGCTGTTGCTGAAGTTGGGATTGATGCTGCTGCTGCTGCGGCTTCTGCTGTTGCTGCTGCTGCTGCTGCTGCTGGGAGGGTTGCGGCGCGGGGTCGTTCTGCATGAGTTGATCGTAAAAGCTACTCAAGTCCCTATCCTGCGCAAAAGCAGGCATTACTTGCGTGGGAGCTTCGAGCGGCAGAGAGTCGGTCGACGTGTCAAAGAAGGTGTTGTCGTCCGTCCCGCCGATGTTCTGCATGTCGTCGTCCATTTGCGTCATGATTCGGGAATTTATCGCTCGTCGGGTCTCTCGCTCAGCTAGGCTCGAAATTGCGCAGTTGGGAGGTTATGGGAAGAGGTGGACAACCAACGAACACTAGTGGGTTTCACGGGGTGGAATCGCTACGAGTCAGTGTCCTGAGGAAGAAAAAGGTCGATGGTCAAATAAGTAAGTTGTCAGATCAAACACCCCAAACTACATTCATGCTCACGGTGCGCGCACTTTAAACTAGAAAAGCGGAAGGGGCGGGAGACGCGAGTGGAAAGCGAGGCAGGGAGAGAGGGAGAGACAGCAGCCATAGGCGTGCGCGTCAATCAAACCAAGTGGACGGGAGGGGTTGAATGAATAATAATAGTTGCTGTTCTTGCATTGCGGTAGCCATGACAGTTGTTGAAGGGGCTTGGGGGTGGGAGGGTGGATGGGCGGAGTGGAATGGGAAGTTGGGATCGAAACATCAAGCAGCCATCTGGCATGATCAAGGAGGTTGATGGGAGGGGTGTGCGCGGGAAGCGAAGTTTGGCGTGCGAGTGGCGGTGGCGGTGAGGCACGGGCACCGTTGCGATTGGCTGGCCTGAGCTTGGGGCAGCAATCGAGCGTTTGCTCACGCTCCGGAAGCGAGAGAATTGCACTAGAACCCTATTTCGTGATTCGTTCTTGCCCACGTGGCCAAGAATGGCTCGCGTGGCCATGATAATTCCTCGAGTGGCCACGCCAGGGGATTCCCGCTGGCTTTTTTTTTCCCGGCGCATTACCCTGCAAGGGTTTGTGACCACGAAATGCACCGTTCGCATGAGTCTCATCCCACGGTAATGTTTCGTACTATTCCCCACCCAAAATTTTTGCCAGGGTGGCGGACGCGAATGCGACCCACCTAATGTACGGGAAACCGACAATTAAGCACGACCAACAGTACATGCGCGCTCAATTTCGGCCAAATGCGCGACCAACGAGCGCACAGTTAAACAAATTGGTAACCAATAAGCGCTCGAGCATATATATGCGCGATCAAAAACTTTAGTTGACGAGCATAAAACCGCAACAGCCCTAATGCCCGCGCATGATTCGTCTATAACATGCGCGGCGCAATTGTTGGCATTGAGCGTCCAATCAGGTTCCATCACTATTGATTGTGACCACATTTGATGGTGCAAGTGAAATGTAATTTACTATATGATCTTGCTAATCATATGGGTAATATACTCGCACAATCATAACTCTCGCCAAGTAGGTTCAAATTAAAACGCTCAGACTGGTTTGGTACGCCTTCGTCATTTTCCCGCGTTTATTTTCTTAAAACATATGCTATAGATCGCTCACATCATTTCCTCTCGTCGTTTTAGGGCTAGCATCTATCTTAGCCGTCGTTTTATGGCTAACACCGTTTTTGTATTTATTTCCTGACTGTGTGCAGGAACAGCGGACGATATAATCGATGTCTTCCAACTCAGTAAATGCTGTAACATTTGGTGATACTGAAATTGCGTGATCCGTAAACATAAAATTGTTCCCCTTAAACCACGGTAGACATGCATAGATCCGGACATGCCAATAGATACATAGGCATAGCGTTATAACCCTTTGCCTCTGCTTGCTACATGAAAGGTAATCACTGTGTTATATAGAGATAACGACAAAACATAACTGAAGAAAGTAGCTATGACGAACCAAATGTACTCCGGGAGAATAAATATATGGAATTTATGAATAATTTTTAAATGCTCCCTGAGCACACACACTTGATTATCATATATGCACACTTATGTGGGTTATTGCGCGGTCTTATGTAATCTATGATTGCGACTTTATTTGGATGTATTTGATTGGATGCGCAATGCGAAACTATATTCTACGAATAAAACAAACCAATTACGTGCGGTCGTTTAATTTCTCGCGAATCGACGGCCGATCATTTCAGTATATGATAGGAAATTCCATGATGGTACCTGATTGGACACATAATGCCAACAGATACACCGTGTATATTGTTGATGAATCATGCGCGGGCATCAGGGCTGTTACGGTTTGATGCTGATCAAATAAAAAATATGATCGCGAGGTAATATGCTCGAGCGCTTATTGGTTACGAAATAGTTTGACCGCCCGCTCATTAGTCGCGCATTTAGCCAAAACTTAGCACGCATGTACTCTTTGTCGGTTTCTTGTACAGTGGGCGGGCCACGTTCGCGTCCGTGACCCTGGCGAAACTTTTTGGGTTGGGAATAGTATGAAACACTACCTCGGGATGCCACTCGTACGAATGAGGAATTTCGGAGTTACAAACCCTTGTAGGGTAATGTGCCGGGAAAAAAAGCCAGCGGCAATCCCCTGGCGTGGCCACTCGAGCTATGGCCACACGAGCAATTCGTGGCTATGTGGGCAAGAACGAATCACGAAATAGGGCTCTAGAGCAGTTCTCTCCTCCATGAGCAGTTTCTTGAAACCCGGACCTTGTTCATTTGTGACCTGCGCTGGATCCAGCAGAAGGTGCTTCCAAATGCGCCAATCGGGAAAGAAACTGTCAGCACACTAGGAGGCCATGCGCAGCGAGAAGCATGCGCGCAGCACAAAGCTGGCGGATTCCCAGAGGGCGGAAGCGGTCGTGCGAGAGCAGTGGTGTCAAGGTTGGGGGCCGGTACACGTGGGTGGGTGGAAGGATCTGGTTGGGGAGATGTGTGTGGTGGAAGCACAATGGTTGAGGCATGATTTATGGAACGCCCATGATTTATGGTTGAGGCAGCCCCGACATCATTGTTTCTTGTTGGAACGTGGGATCTTGTCGCTCCTGAAGTGCGAAATGAAACGTGCTCGTTGGCGCTTCTTTCAGAATAGAGTGTACACTTCCTCTAAGCTCCACTTAAATTAGTACTAGTTGCTCTATACCGACCGGAAGTGAAGTGGGACAGTGGTGGCATGTGCCAGGAGCTTCTGCCGTCGCTCGCAATACAACCGCTACTGCTATATATAATCTCCTTCGCGCTTAATTTTAGTGGGAGGGGTATAATGGGTGAACCGAGCAAAAAAATCTGCCGCTCAACCACACGAAGCCCATCAGAACTGTATACGCAAATTGTTGATTGAGTCTAGACACTTCGATGGGGAGCTTTTCCCGAAAATCTTTTAGAAGTGGTTGAATTCCCCGCCCCCTTGTCACCCAGTAAGATTGTCAATTATGATGTTATTATATCAGCAAATGGACAGCAGCAAAAGATGAGGTTTGTAAACTTTACAATAACTGCATTTCTGCCTGACAGACGTTCGATTTTGAAGGATGTGATGGAAACAATATTTCCCAAAGGGGCAACCAGTGGACAACTGGCCAACGGGGCAGCTCCGACGCAGCCAACGATAACAATGCTAAAAGGAGACCCGTTTTTTGTTCCATGTCTCGTGATGGTTTACAATCCTATACTACATTCCAACTAACGAGATCCTAGCCCAATTTAACAATCAATTTGCAATTCCATTATTCGTGATGATTTGTATATATCAACAGGATTGTCCTTAAGTATCCTAGTCTTTTTTTTCCATTGTTTTAAAAACATTAGGGTAAAATCATGATTGTAGTGAAAGCATAAAAACATGAATTGGATCTTCGCGTTACAGTCGAAGGTACCGCTTTGTACCGAATCTGATTAAATAAATATCTTGTTGCTATAAATGAAGATCGTTGTGGATAGGATCAGGCTTGCTAAGTGAAAGAAGACAGTGAAGTCTTGTAAAAACCTTGTTTGTAACAATGTTGAAAGGAAACAAGATAATAATGATAACAATACAAGGGTTTATATAGCATTCCTAGCTAGCCATGTACTCTGAGGGGTACATTCCCTTATTAACTGTATTACGTTGTTACAACCGTGACTATTGTTATACTAGACACTTACCATATTGCAGCGTGTAACCTCCTAACAAGATTACTGGATGGTCAACAGTCGTGACGATTTACTTGCTGCGATTGTTGACTTTCTCGTGGCTGTCTAGCTGTTGCGTGCTGTTTATGAGAGCTAACGCAGTATTAATACAGATGCGCTGCATCGTTATGAAGCGATGCGCTAAGGAAGAAACTTCGGGAATGTTTACAATAACCTGAAGGTGAACCACGTGGGATTTTTTCAAGATCCCGCAGAGGTTGGCGCAGTACTGAAAGTTCTGATGTGGTAGTTTGTTTGCCAGAAAATCCGTTGCAATATCACCAGTCGGGCAAAAGGTGAGTTTGGTTCTTGTCAGAATCCCAGCCACTAACCACTGGGATAAAAGGGCTTGTTTATGTAGCGGGTGAGTGCGCCCATAACCCCCCAGGCCAACATGCCTGTAACCCTTCCCTAGGATCATCGGGGATCCCCAGTGGACCTCTGACACCCCCCCGCACTGGGATGCCCGAAGTGCACACACCGGGAATCGAACCCGAGACCTTCGCTCTGATACCATGTCAGAATCCCAGCCACTAACCACTGGGATAAAAGGGCTTGTTTATGTAGCGGGTGAGTGCGCCCATAACCCCCCAGGCCAACATGCCTGTAACCCTTCCCTAGGATCATCGGGGATCCCCAGTGGACCTCTGACAGTTCTGCCCTTGTCAACGTCGTCATTAATCAAGAAGTAGCAAAGTGTGATGTGCTTCGTACGCACGAAGCCGGGTTTGTTCACGATTTTTATCGCGCTTTGGTTGTCGCAAAGTAATTCGAAGTGCCCGTTCATCGTCACTTTCGCTTCATGCAGTAGCTCCATCAGGTACAGACCTTAGCGAACAGCTGCACTTGTGACGATGAATTCGCCGTCGACTGACGAAAGGGCGATGAGTTACTGCTTTTGGGAGTTTCAGGAGATGAGTCCAGCCGGTTAGAGTTGGAATCAGAAGCTTGTGCGAGAGTGTCTGTCGTCAACATGTCCACATGATCCGCATCCACATAGCTTCGAAGCTGAAGCGTAACCGTTACGTTAGCAGCGTGGGTGAGCCCGATGTCAGTAATTGTGAGGATCAATAGTATCTAGTT